AACATTTATATGAGATATGTGAAGACGACGCAGCCACATTAATGTGGCAAAGTGAAGCAAATTGTGAATCTGCTTCCTGCTTGGAGATGTATCAGCAGGCAAACACTCACTGGATTAATACGGAAGGATTGATTTTGATTGTATGACGTTATCCTAGCTCAGTTTTACAATTTTATCATCTATCATACTACAGGAATTTCCAGAGCTTTTGCACCTCATGTTCAATATGTTTACAGCATGTCTCCAATGTGTTTTGGACATTTACACCCGAAGTCTACTTTTACTGTGCTAGGACATGTTATGAAACCAGTATCCAAACGATAATGGAGGAGCCATTCTGAAAGAGTGATTCAGCGTCATTCACTGTGCTTGCCTTGCAAAGTAACCTGTAATTTAGCAATTACCTTATTAAGCCGGTCCAGATTCAATGTATTTGATTGTGTGAGGAACTTCTTGGCTGGGCAATAAACTTGTTGCCCTCGTGAATCATAATTTACACAAACTGACCTTAATTGGTTGCGGCTGAATCATCTGAAGAAGGTTGCTGTGTGACGCGCATCCATCCACCCATCATCTACAAGGCCTCGGGGTGGAGCCGAACCCTCTGACATGACTGTAAGCATGGCCAGCCATCACGCTCAAGTCTCTGATCTGTGAAAAGAAGCACCTGCAGCATTGCAGAAACTCGCCAGACACTCCATTAGCTCCAAATGAAACTTTTGGCTTTCATTGGACATTTGGAAAGGAACTGACAGCATAGTGCACAACAAAAACAAAAAAAATTAACGTGTAATTTAATGAGGATAGCACACAATAGTCTTGTATTTTATATTTTAAAAAAACATACAGTAATGATACATTCTATTTAAATAGTTGAAAAGAATTCAAGTTTAGTCACACCGCATCAATTGAACGACCATTGTTTTGTTCTTTCGAGTGTGACTAAACTGGTCATCTGTGGGGAGTAGAAGACAGACAAATGAAACATATCAACTCCTTTCAGCTCATCAGTACGGCACTAATGTTAATCGTTCTTTGCAGACGATAAAGAATGCATGACTGTGAACTGTTGTAGAGTATAGTATGTCTTGCTGTGCCATTCCTGTTCACACCATGGCTTAAATGGATACTCGCACCGCAAAACAGATGCTATTTAGTGTTAGCGTGAAGCTGGAAGAATGAAAGGCTAAACCATGTGGTTGATTTAAATACCAACATTGTAATTCTTTGTTTTATGTTTATGTTTAATTTGACAATAAACAATCAACTGGGAGAGGTAAAATACAATTCACAGCCTTCTACTCTATTTGCCAAAGTGCTACTTATTGTGAATCAAGTTGAGTTCGCTGTGAAGAAACATTGAAAGACAGTCCGAAAGCTTCTCTTTGTGGTTCTCAGCACAGAGATGAAAACGACAGTTATGTCCTGGTTAAACTGGACAAAGTTCTCTGCCATCCAGGATTCTATACAGTTCAAAAGAGCATCCATTAGACCAGTGTCATCAGAAACAAGGAGATGTACAGTTGTGAATCACCTGCGTAACTGAGGAAGTTCATTTCACGCCTTCAGATAATACCGCAAAGCGAGATCATACAGATTAAACAGTACGGGACTTGAAATTAATCCCTGCAGCACACCATATTATTTTATAGTCTTACGAGTCTCTGTGCTTGTAGTTCACCTTAAAAATCAGACCGATAACTTCCAAGAATATTACAATTTTCTTTTACTTCCTGAAATGTTGCTTAGCAGTTAGAAACTTGTCGCAAATTGATAAAAATCATTAAATTGTTCCTCTTCAGAATAGGCCTCACTGAACCAAATAAGGTGCCTTGCCTCGATGTTGGAAAACATTGTCAAGAGAGTACAGACAAAAAAACGGATCTGACGCAAAAGGTTTTCTTAAGCCAGTCACACAGCAAGCCAAGACATCCTCAAGCATGAGACGGCACCCCAGCTATACTTGCAGTGGGCAGCAGGAGCAACTGTGTCCATTACTCACCAATGAGTCACATTTCCTCCTCGCTCTCTTAGTGTTGTCGGTTAACCCCCCCCAGCCCCCTCTTCAGCCTTTTTAACAATGACTCAGCGAACGAAATTAACGTTCGTTCTAAATCAGCAATATTTTTCAGAATAACACCACTTGTTCCTGGAAGATCATAAGGGACGCAGGGGGGCTCTCGGTCCGACAAGCATCGAGGACAAGCTGAGCCCCTACTCAGAAGTAGTCGTTTCTTTCCACTTGAGACTCGTTTTAAGACTCTTATTCAAGTTCCATGCAATCACATCAAAACAATGGACACTAGACTTGCAATAAAGGAGAAGCGTGTGGCTGACCCAGGGTCACTGATTTCTTTGGTCGAGAATATTGATGACCCAACCAGCACATCTCTTCTTCTTCTTTTTTTTTTGGGGGTGTTTGCATCCACATCTGTATTAACGTTACCATCGAGTGTTTTGGGAGGTCCGAAAATGTTTATTTCAAGACATGACACTATTTATGTGCTGACTTGTTAGCATTTAGCGTATCGTAAGTGCTTTAGTCTATTAATCTTTTGACCATAACTATACGTCGTTGAGAGGCATTTTTCTTTCATGGGTTGTACTTGACACATCAGTTAACAGCTTTCAAACACATCTTTTTCACTGGTTTAGATGCCTTTTTATTATGAAATATAACCATTCAGTTTAAGTTGTTGTCGTTGTAAAACAAATGTATTAATTCCAGTGATAATTAAATCATGATAATTTTAGCTGTTAACCTATCCAGATTTAAAATAACTGGATTAGCTACATATTTTCATTATATTGCCACATTGTTAAACTGTATTCTCCATTTAAAAAAAAAATAGTGCAAATCGCAAAGGAACAACATCGCCAAGGACGCTCATAAATGTCTGAAAAATACCTGTATTGTATTCACACCAGACACTGATCGTCATTATTATTGTCACAACAATATTCGTGGGCATCGCGGTATCGATTCTTCTCCCCCAAACACAACATACCGGACGAAAACAGCAGAAACCAGACCAATGTCCTCCTCGTCAATTATATTGATACAACGTACCCCTACACAAATTATATGGCGCAGCAATGTATAAAAATACTTTTAACTTGTGAATGAAAACAAAAGTTTCTCCAGCTCTAAAAATGTTTACCTCCCCATGGATATCAAGAGGAAAAAAAGGGGAGAGTCAAAGGCGTGAGTTCAACTTAATAGAGGCGGTGCCATATTAATTACTGGAGTAGGGGGAACGTAAAAAATGTTGTTCCACCCGGTAATAATGGAGGATATAGTAAAAGAACACGTCAGGTATTTATCATTTCACAGCTTTTTGTGTAATTATAATGCAGTACATTAAGCACTTCCAAGTTGTTTCCTGGCCCTGTTACGTATGTTCTCTCGCTGCAGTTTGTCACCCACCTACAAAGTGTCTTACAGTTCACACGCAATACAGTGAGTGTCTTTCAATGTATTCAAGTGGATGAATGAAAAGAGGCTGGAGCGCTTGACGAACACACTTCCTCAGTCACGTGCAACTCCTGCGAAGTGGAACCAAAACATGTACTCAAATGAGTATTCCAACGACGGACAATAACAGCAAACAAGTAACAAAAACAGGTAGGATGACTGTGCCTGACAAGGCCACTCCTCAGAGAGGGATGACTCACGTCGTTGAAGAACAAACAAAGCTAACAGCGACATCTAGTGGTCACCGTTAAAAATGCAGTTTAACACAACTGCGTTAAACACGCCGTGTTTTTAATCAGGATTTTTATAACATGATGTGACGCAGTGTGTGGTTGTTGGATGTTTGACCTTGTTCATAGTGAATTTTGATCTAAAAGCACCCCTTTTGTGATGGTTAGTCGCCATCAAAAACCAATCAGCTGACCCACTGTCGACAGAGCGGGTAAAAAGTCACTGAGCACTAAAAGTTGGTATTAAAGATGAGTACATAGGCCTTCTACAAATGTAGTTCAAGCAAATGATAATGATGTTTTTCACACGGGAAAATGAAAGTAATGACATAAGACAGGAAGAAATAAAAGATGAGAAATCACGATAAGTCGATTTCAGAAAAAATGTCAGTGAGACCACTAATTCTATATGCAATTTCGAATACCTGGTTATTTCTCAACCTGTAAAACTATGAGTCCACTGACTTTACAAACAATTTTTTTCTCTCGCTTTGTTCGACTTTGTTGTGACCTTGAATTTTGACCTGTACAGACCTCTGAAAACAAAGAGGGGCCTTGAGATGCGAGTACCTTGACTAGAGCGAGACCATTTTTTTTCCTATACACCGCCAAAGATTACTACCAAGATTTTTGTTTTGAAATGAGCAGTTTTAATGCACAATTTTCTCATTAGTTATTCAGAAATTCTACATTTTTGTGAGTAGTGTATATATCAAGAAACCAAACCAAACTTGTGTGACAGTGCATAAAATCCGTAAATCTTTTCATCTTAGGAGAGTGCAACAGTTATTTTAAAGAAATGATACAGCTTTAACAGTAACTAAGAGTGGAATAGAAAAAGAAAAAAAAAACAATAGTTTGGAGTGTGTTCTTCATTTGACGTAATAAATTATAATAAGACGAAAATAAATTCCTGATTTAAAGGGAACATATGGAAAATTGACTTTTTATTAGCTTGTACACAAATTGTTCCGCTTGCCACCCACCGGCTTACATGGTAAGCAAAGTCAGACTTGCCATTCGCCCATTACCAAATGGGGCAGGAAGATCGGGTAATTTCAGCAAGACAAGGAAGAGGGTGAGAGAAGTGTACGATAATTCTTGTTTACTGAAGATGTTTTGGCAGAACGATGTCACAGACATGTTTCTCCAGTAAAAGACTTGGGAAGTGTTTGAAATTAGGCCTTGAACCATTAGTCAAGCGGACGATTTATTCAGGAGATATTACTCAATTTAAAAGAGTCAAAGATCGTCTGATTTCATTTTAATTAGTTTTCATTGTAAAAATTTTTAAAAATACACATTACATGTGACAATTTAAGACTAAGATCATGACATTCATCAAATACTCTTTTTGGTCCCTTCAGAGATGCAGATCAATTAAAAATGAAATAATTAAAAGGGCCGCACTTCAGTTTGCAAAATGCAAAATGCAAAAAAAAAAAACCGAACAACATGGAGGTCTTGGTGAGGCTGATTATTTCTTTTTTGCTGCTGTGCATCTGCCCATAGGCTGGCTCAACGTGAAACACATGACAAGAGGGATGGATGTGTTGCCAAGGAGACGTCATGATAGAAAGAAGTGTTGGAAATTTTTGGTGAATAACACCGAGGCCCCACCCATGAGGTAGGTGGGGTGGGGGGAGCTTTTCCGCAGCAACATTTGTGTTCTTACATATTTATTTATTTATCGACAGAAGACTCCATCAATAAATAATGAGAACGGAGAGCAGTCATGACTGGTGGATATTCTTGCTCCAGTCTTATATCTGGTCAAAAAAAAACAACAAAAAACCTGCTGCCAATCACTCAAAATAGAAATCTTTTTTTTCATTTATTGTGTTGTAAATTGTCATCGAAGCAAAAATGACAGTATTGTCAAGACGGATTTATTTGGCAGAAAGCTCTTGCAGTGTTAATTAAATAAATAAAGTGCTCCAACCCGTCGTGTGGATCCCACAAGGGAGCTGCGTGTCAAGCACGCTGCGTACTACGGCGTTGAAATCAAGGTCATGGTTTGCATCCAACCAAAGTCGCAATGACACTCTAGGTCATTGTTTCACTTTCTTTTTCTCCATAGCATTCGTAACATATAGCGGTCAAAAAAAAAAAAAAAACCCCGGTCAGCTTCACCAAGGGAATGTGACTCATGAACACGCATGAGTACTTCTAAGCCTTTATCACAAGCGCGTGCTCGAAATGTTGCAATGTGTGGAGGAGTACAATGTGATTTGCTGTAAGAAGTGAGGGACTCATTCTGGCAGGTTGGCTGGCTTAAGTGGAAATATACCCACTTTCTCCCATTCTAGTCTTCAGAAGTATCGCTTTGTCATTCCCCTTGGCAGATGCAGGGGGCGCACTGCGCCTGGATACACTGCTTGTTGGCTGTCTGGAGAAAAGCAGCTGCAGGGCGGACCTGAAATAATAAATCACATGAAATCAAGATGGAATCTCAGCTATTTACACAAATGAGGAGATTTGTGCGGCCTATGGAAATGGAGGTCGTGCAGCAAGCGCCGCTAGGTGTCAGTATGGCCACACACATATGAAGATATCCCGCGTGCGCTCTTCCTCACCTGGGCTTGTGCTCGAGGGGGCCGAGCAGGCTGGTTGACCGGGTGGTTGGGGGTCCACGGCCCCAGGCTCTGATTGGAGTAGAAATCCATGGGGTAGACCTCCTTCCAGGTTGTCTCCTGGAGGGCCACTGCTGCCTGAGGGAAGGATGGGGAGAGGAAATCAAATCAATGAGAGATGAAGAGGTTTGGGATTTTTACTGTTTCTCACCCGCAGAGAGTGAATTTTGAAGTGTTTCTATGTGCAGGTAAGCAGAGAGATTGACACTACAAACGAGACAGGTGTCAAAATAGTGAGTTTGGAACAGGTGAGTGTCATCGTGTTTGCTGTCTGCGACTGCATGGCATACATAACACAGCAGCTGTTGGAGGAGCTGTGTTGCCCTTTTTCTTGTTTTATGTTGTTTACATTTTATGGACTGGGAAAGAAAAGAGGAAAATTAATTCGAATTTCATTTGTGATTAACATTTGTAATTCACCGTTTACCTTTCTGGATTTGGCAAATGACTCACTTCTCTTGACAGCAAGCAGCAGTTCCGCAGATAACATTTGTAAATAGCAATTAAAAAAAAAAGCACCAAGCTGTTTTTTGACACTATCGAGTTAAGATTACTGTCAAACTAAGCATACAACAAAAAGTATGACACTTTGTGTGTTCTTAAAACAACTATCGGTCGATAGATAGCCTGAGGAAAATCGGCTAAACATCAAGCTAGCACACAATCCAAAACACTGTTGACATGCTAATGGTTAGCATTGAGAATCAAGGTTTTAGAAGCAACGGATGTTTGAAGAAACGGTGGAGCAACTTATCTAAGCACTAGAGGCAGTACTTGTATTTGAAATCCGCGACTGCTGTTCGTTTACACCCGAATCCCGTATCACTTCAGGTGAGTGACTTTTGCCGAAAAACACATCATGGTCTGAAAAAATGAAACATCCCAATTTCATTATTATCGGAAATGAAGTACACTTTAATAGTTCTTTATCCACACCATATATTTTCCAAACCGCTTTATCACGACGATATTCACTTTTTCTGAGGTGATAACAGCAACGCAGTTTAAGATCCGCTTGCTTTAAACTAGCTGCTAGCTAACGCGAAGATAACCTTGTATTTTCGGCTTTATTTTTCTTGGTGTATGTCTGAATGATTGTATTATGCTGCCCCTTGATGGCCAAGGCATGCGCACCAAAAGGTGCAGCACAATGAATTTTGACTGCAGCATTAATCCCGTCATTCACCATGTAACCTGATAACCTGTTCACTGTAGTAACCGCTGTCCCTGAAAGGCTTAAACCATGTTCCTAAAAATGTCTCTTTTTAATGTATTAATTATTCAATGCTTTATTGCAATATTATAGAACTGCTGTCTGGAGAGTGAGCCCAACATATTCTGAAAATAAAGATTAGAAATTCAGATGCTGATGAATTTGCGCTGTTTTTCCACAATATTTCCCTGTCAACACTTTCTTAAAGCTCCTGAAATATGAGTTACACGATTGTCATCGGACAGCGACAATATGAAGGTGAATAATCCAGTGCTGACCTGAATGAGGTTTTTTGGCCTCGGGCGGAGGTCTTCTCTCTATCAGGTGCCATTTTCATGTCAAAGCAGGAGCTTGAATTATTAGAACAATAGCAAGGTCACTCCACTAAACAGACTCAAATCGGTAAAAATTCAAGTGACGGGAGCAAACTCAAAGGATGAGTTTTTCACCATCTCCTCTTTTTGCTCTACTGTCTTCTTCTGTGTACTTATTTTGGCGCACTGCCTCTCCAACCTCTCCTCCGCTCTGCGCATGCTAGCTTGCGCCGCTAATCCCCACTCCGACAAGAGAGCCGAGTGCGTCTTATTGACTATAAATATAACATGAGAGGCCCTGAAAATAAGTATCCCCCGCCCCAGCAGCCCCCCCCTTCCCCGGGCACACTCCGCCCTCTCGGCTCCTTTCCCTCCCGCCGCTGTCATCTTCTTTCTAAATGCCACAGCACACCTAAAAGCACTCAGTGGCGAGAGACCGTGTGGGGATACGTTCCTAACGCAAATGCAGCTCAATCGATTTGAATGCAGATGTTGTTAAGAAAAAAAAAAGTGGCTGCAAAGGAGAGCAAAGTAGGCTCCCACACAAAAACGGGCTTTTCCTATTCAAGGCAGCGAGTCCCGTTAGAGACATTTCACAAGGATGTCTGAATGAATTCAAAGCTCACATTACCAAACCGCAGCCACAGAAACCAAAGTCATCACAATCCAGCGTATTCTAATTATTTATTTATTTATATTGGGGAGCGTGTGTGTGTGTGTGTGGGGGGGGGGGGTGTTTGTCTGCTACATCAGCAGCAGCTGGTTTTGAAATGGATCTTGTTGAGGACTTGCTCTCTGTTTGACAGCAAGGAGGGGCGGCGGCTGTGCCATCCGGCAGCCTGCAGGGGGGGCTGCTCCTCCGCCCGCCCGCCATCATGTTGCCGCTAGGCTCCCACTGAACAAATTCAGCGCCATTTAAAAAACACTTTAGCCACCCTTAACAACCTATGCGCTAAAATGGCACAACTTGGCATCCAACAGCGTTGCCGCGCGACCTGTGTGTGCATTTAAAGAGCCGCAGGCGGCCGGACAAGTGGACGGCAAGAGTGAGTGGGTCATTTTTACCTCATAGGGAGACAGCAGCGGTTTGGAGAAGGCTGAGCCCCAATCGATGGACAGTCGCGGACACGCAATTTGTACCCACCTGCAGGAGAGAAGGCACATGAATTCGCACAAATCAAGCCGAGAGAATCTCACTGTCAAAGTGTTTGGATGATGACAAAGGATTTGAAATGAAACAATGAGGCCATTCAAGTGTTGTCTTTCAGCTCCAATTAGGGCCAGAACAACAAGCAGTGAGGAGCCGCCCCTGTTGTCCTCCAAAGAATCGCATTTTTGCCAGAATTTCTTTTCTGTTTTTCTTTTAATTCATATTTATAGTTGAGTTTTTGTAGGTGAATAAATGCTTTGAAATCAATGAATGATCGTTATTACGAATGCTGATTCCAATTAGACTTCAGACTTCAGATTGTCAGGTATTTTGCATTTTTTGCTAAATCAGTGATTGGTTGAAATGTAATAATTTGCCGATCGATCGATCAAGAATGTCATTGATCGGATCGGCAAAATAAAAGTTAACAGTCAAAAAAATCTCGTTTACTCCAGGGACATTCTGTGCTGCCATCGTTAATAATCCAAGGTTTCTTATCATATGCAGTCAGAGTTAAAAAAAAAAAAAAAATCCCAATATTTTTTATTAATTAGGTTTTTTTTTGTTGTTGGGAGGTTTGGGGTTTCTATGTATTGAATGTTGAAAAGCATTTTTGTGAGAAATTTTTCCCTGAGGTGATTAAACGTCGACATATTGATCAGCTCAGGAGAGTTTTGATCACCATTATGCTGGAGGCAACATTGTCATTACCCACATACTTCTGAATCTGAGCATAAAGCAACCAGAGTCACTAGTCCCCAAGATCCTATGGTGAGGCGAATGCTGATTCCAATTAGACTTCAGACTTCAGATTGTCAGGTATTTTGCATTTTTTGCTAAATCAGTGATTGGTTGAAATGTAATAATTTGCCGATCGATCGATCAAGAATGTCATTGATCGGATCGGCAAAATAAAAGTTAACAGTCAAAAAAATCTCGTTTACTCCAGGGACATTCTGTGCTGCCATCGTTAATAATCCAAGGTTTCTTATCATATGCAGTCAGAGTTAAAAAAAAAAAAAAAATCCCAATATTTTTTATTAATTAGGTTTTTTTTTGTTGTTGGGAGGTTTGGGGTTTCTATGTATTGAATGTTGAAAAGCATTTTTGTGAGAAATTTTTCCCTGAGGTGATTAAACGTCGACATATTGATCAGCTCAGGAGAGTTTTGATCACCATTATGCTGGAGGCAACATTGTCATTACCCACATACTTCTGAATCTGAGCATAAAGCAACCAGAGTCACTAGTCCCCAAGATCCTATGGTGAGGCGGTGGGGGAGGGGGGGCACATGTGCGTCCACTCTCACACGTAGGAACCGTGCAGCTTCCTGCTTCCACCTGATCTCAAGCATCTGTTGAAGAGATGTGTCCTGATTCGCAAACAGCCGCGCTACACCGTGTGACTGCAGAAGCAGTCAAGGGATGACTGATGCTGCCAAAGGGGTAGGTGAGAGGTTAGGGGCATTCGAGGACCCCCCCCCCCCAAAAAAAAGCAATGATAGGAAAGAGAAGGAAAGGGTAGGTGTGTGTGAATTAAAAAAAGAAAGAAAGAAAGAAAGAAAGAAAGAAGCACCATTCAAGTCTCCATGGAGGTAGCCTACATAGCTGGCAGACAGAGTGGTGGGAGGGAGTAAAGGAGGACTGCTGGGTGGGGTCTGTGTATGAAAGAGATGAGAAAGACACAGATAGCGGAGGGAGGAAGAGCAATAAAGATGGAGCAGATGGAGACGAGGGCGGTGGGGCACAAGGCAAGGCGAAGCCGGAGCAGCAAGATTGTCTGTGAGAAAAGTGTTTACTCTTGAAAATGCATGAGGGAAGCATGAAGGGGGAAAGGGGGGGTTTAAACAGCTGGAGGGAAGAAAAATGAATAATACAGGGAAGGGGGGGGGGATAATGGAAGCCGGAGCAAAGGGATGGTGCGGGTTAGCTTTGGCAGATCAATCCTATCCACGGCTCCGTTGTTACTGCCTAATTCCAATGATGGCGCTCCAGTTATTGACGAGCAACGATGAAGAGACGCGTGTCAAGGCCAAGGAGAGAAGGCTAGCTGTACGGCAACGCTTAAAGAGGCAACGACGGAGCAAGTGGAAGGAAGGGCGGTGGGGAATAAAAGCCTAATCGCCCGAATGTCACTATTGCCCATCTGTCTGTTCCCCTCCTATGCCAACTTTAGCAAAGTTTCTGAGCGGTTGAATTGATTGCACGGTTGACTCCCACTCGCACAGAAATATTCCGCCCGCCCTCTGGGCAAACGCGTGGCGGTTTCTAATTTTCAAATCCTGCGACCCCCCTCGCTCTAAACGTCTCTCTCACCCGCAGAGTGAATTCTTTTCCATCCCTCGTAATTTGAGAGCTAGCTGAGTCAGACACACTTGAAGCAATCTCCTCACGGCTGCCGTGTGTGTGCGCAACCAAGTGAGATGGCGAATTGAAAATGAGACCTTGAAGTCCATCGGTTGAGGCTAATCACTTGCAAGCATTTATGCGTTTATGCAACATGCTCTAACTATGGAGCTACACACCCGTCATCTTAAAGGCAGTTAAAGCGTGGTTGAGCGCAGAACAGTAGTTAAACAGCAACGCGAAACTCACAGTCCATTGGGTAAGCAAGAAGAAGATGTAAGACGAAAGTGAGATGAAGCAACAAACTCGAGGTTATTTAAAAAGGAAAAAAATAAAAAAGACTGCGGGGCACCTTAATGTCGAAAATGTATCTATTCATGGAACTGCGGTGGGCACTTCAAATGAGAATTGCCCCGCAATTAGCGGATGACTGGTCCGGTACTTGCCAGTGACCCTCAAGGCAATATGGATGACTGGATGCCATTTCATGCCTGGCAAATGACTCAGAATTTCACAAAATGTTTCCAATTGAACAAAAACTAAAAACAAAAACAGGACAAAAAAAAAAGCAAACGGGCATCTTCTGATCTCGAAGTATTCATTTAATAAACCGAGACTTTTGGGCATGTGTTATCGGTAAGATTAGTTGGTGATCGACTTTCAAAATGACTTCTTGTATTTCGCCATAATTTCAAGTGTTACGATTGTGGCTATTTGATCTCGCAAGCAGATTCATTGCATTGTTTTTACATGGAGGAAATGGAGGAAAACGATTTAATTCTGGCGGAAATTTTGAATTGGACTGCTGATGTTTGCAAGTCGCATTTGCCGTACAGTTCAAAGTTGGAATGGTTTGAATCAGTCAACAAGTGTGGAAGTTAGAAGTAACCGAAAATGTTTTAACATTGGGCTTTTATTGAGAAATTTTCAAAAACTTTGGGACACCTCCTGTTCATTTTGGGACACACTGGCCATTTCTCAGTGTGGAGAAACGGCCTTGGGCAGCTTGGGCAGCGACTGACGATGAGCTCACAAGGACATAAGAACGGACAAAATATTTCATAAAATAAAAATAAATGGAAATCTGCGACAATTCTGGGCCATTTCTGATTGATTTCGGAGCATTTTCTGGTCATTTTGGGGCAATGCTGGCTCAAGTCCTGTTCATTTTGTAGATTCTAAATTCCAGATTGTATTCATAGTCTGCTACCTCAAAAAATGGCGACACCAGCCGCAACACCTTAAAAAAAAAAAAAGAGCGTGGGGAGTTTTGAGGCTAGCTGTTTACTTGTTTTAAGAAACCTTGCTTGAGTGTTTTTTTGTTGTTGTTTTGTTGATTTTTTTTGGAGGGGTTTGGTGGGGGTGCAGCAGGCAGAGAGTACAGAAATGCGGTTGAATGGCGACCCTAATTCACTCAGGCCTGAATGTGAATGGTTTGTGCCCTGCGATTAACTGGGGGCTCATCGAGGATGAATCCCACTTCTCGTCCAGTGTCAGGAAAAGTTTAAGACAGACAGATGGATAGAAGCTTTTTCAAGAGACCCCAAAATAACTCACTCTCTTTCTCCTAATTACAGTCGTGAAAGGGGACAGGAGTAAAGTGAGCTTTGGGCTCACCTCTAAGGCAATTTATATGGACACCTTTGAAAAGAAATTCGAAAACAAATGTTATACTGTGAGACAATCTGTCACATGAGCGCTAAACTTAACCGGAGACGTCACAACATTTAGTGCTGCTGAAGCCATGAGCGGTACTCAGCGCCTTGCTTCTTTCCTGACGCGCAGCTGAAGCAATTAGGCCTTCGACACTCGAAAGAGGTAAAAACATGTTCACAGAAACAGACATTTAATTGGGCTGTTGTGAAAAAAACTCAAATGGGAAAGATTCAATGCCGCAATGCACTGTGGGTGGTATGGCGACGGTCTAGTCTAGATAAGCGTGTGTGGCGAGGAGATCCGTGTACAATAGGACAAAGGCTGCTTGAGGAGAGTCTCATTACACACTTAAGAGAATAAGATAATGGGGGGGGGCTTTTTAGATGACGACGTGGGTGTTTAAAGGCAGAGAAAGCCTGAAACGGGGCTCTGGCGCTCGATCGAAAATTCTCTCTCGTGCTTGCATCCCTCCCGCAATACGACACGGTGGTTCGGCACATTGCAAGACGCCTGGTTGGCTTGTTGCGTCTATTGTAGCTCGACCTCACACAGATGAATTCATAGGGGGGCTTTTCAGGGGTGGCGGGAGCAGCTGAACAATTTGCAGTTGCGTGAATCAGATAAGCCCAAAATAAATGCGGGCGGTTCGTCTGATAAATCACGGATGCAATTATGAAATCGCTCGCTTTTGAAAAGACACTTTCATATTCAGTTCCTTCAAGTGGACTCGATGAAGGAATGAATGAGCACAGTTGAAACATCTGGACGTCTCTCAAACCTGAAACCTGTTGTGACAGGCGCTCGAAGGAAGTATTTCGGCTCATACTTTTTTTTTTTTTAATTCAATTGTTCTTCAAAGAGACCATTTCTGAGCATATCATTTTTGAAGGAAAAGTCCACCCATGAGTACTTGATTCTTTTTTTTACTTGTGTGAACCTGTTGATGAGCCATTTCTGGCTAATATTACTGTTACTGTCCATACATAATGGTACACATTTGTCCTGTTGAAAAAGTTGAGTGTTAGAGTATTAGAAAAATGCACAATTTGGTCTGCACAATTCCTGACCGACTAAAAAGTACTTCTGCTGGAGAACACAAACTCTGGGAACTTTATTTAGCCTGCCCTGGTTGAAGCCATAAAAGTTGCATAGAAGTTGTCTGGCGTAAAAACTTGCCTTCAATATGTTTTTACTTTGTTGTTTTACCTTCACAAAAGTGATCAATATTTTGGATCATTGAACTATAACCAGCTCGAGTGTTAAACGGATGAATTTGGCTACTGGTCAGTCCCCTTAATAATATTTGGGGTGTTAAAAAAAAAAAAGTTAATGAATGAATCAAACATGGATCAAGTTGGAACCCCAAGTCACTTTGGACAATTCTATGCTTCAGATAGTGAGAACAGTGTGGGGAAATCCTTTGCTGTTCCAAATGCACAAAACAAGGAACTTTGCATTACTGACCGCTGATTCTCACAAATGGACAGAAAAAAAAATCTCCACCATTCATAGAAAGTCTTCTCAGATGAGTGGAGAGTCAACATTGTCTTCCATTTTCAGAAAGTAATGGCAAGGTGTCCCGATACTTTTGTCCATATGTGCTGTCACCTTATGCAGGTCTGAAGAGAAGACGACGTTTGGATTTTCCCCAAAGGTCACACTTGACATGTTATTGAAAGAAAAGTCATTGTGTCGATAATGAGGTTTTGCGGACGGGCGAGCCGGCCCTGACTTGCATTACTTGAACATTGCTCTCAAATAAGATGGCCGAACAACAAAAAGAAAAAGCTCTCTCACCCCCTTCAACTCCTTCCACATTGCTCCATGTCTCAGTCTAGCTCAACACGGCCGTCCTTCTCTCACCAACTCCTTTCTCGCTTATCACAACTCTCATTGCTGCGCTGGAGGGCTGAACAATTAATCAAATTCAAATCGCCACTGTAATGAAGATGAAAGCAATTTTCCAGATTTCCAAGGCTGCGATTTGGGGAAGGAAAAGTGCTTGATTTAAGGTCGGTCGGCATACATGTAGAAAAAATAATAATTGCATATTAAATCGCAATCATAATATCAAGGGGGGGAAAAATACAAATATCACAATGATATAATTTCTCTAAATTGTTAAGACCTAAAAAATAGAGAGCGAGAGAAAGAGAGACCCGAGTTTTAGGATCATGGGAGCCCAAGCGAGACTTGAACACTTGCACGCCTCGAGTGCCCACTGACCTCCGTCCTTCAAATCGGGAAATCACCGGCAACTTTTCAAAGGGGTTTTATGATTATGATAGCAAGACTGCGGCGTTCAGTGGCGTAGTTTATCACACTGGGATTATGGGCGGCGTGTTTTATCGACCGACTCTAGATCCCTACATGCATCAAACATTCCCAATCTGCACTGCATCAAAAGGAATTCTTGTTTATTTAAGTAATCCTTTCCGACCAAACAAATACAGGACGGGTAACACGCATATCGCCCTTGATATGATTTGCCCTGTCTTGCTGATGAAACTGAACAACATGTCACTGCTGCAACGGGAAAAGCACACTAACGCTCCATGAATGCCACATACATTCAAGAAGACGGAGCTCGTTTGTTATATTGTTACAGCGAGCCATTTATGACGCCCACCCGCCTTCGACTACATACACATTTCAGTCATGATAGCTGATTCCATAATGGCTCGCCAAGACACCATTCTTTTGGAAAATGTCGCTCAATGTACATTGCCTGGACAACCGCTGGTCTCCAAAAAAAATCCTAAGAGGTCCATGAGTTCATTTTCTTTTGTCCTTCACTTCCTTTTTTTTGCCCCCTCCTCGACCCCATCTTTAATTCTCACTGCTTTTGTTTTGTTACATCACTCGGTGACAATATTCAAATGACTTGAGAGCCACTGGTTTGGTGGCAGGTAACTCAACTCACTTCACAATAAGCAGCAGTTCGGCAGATAACAATATTCTTGGGGGGGGAAAAAAAGAGGCCTTGAAGCTGTTTATTGCCGTTCTGATCTGAAGGTTGCTGTCAAACTGAATAAGAAAAAAAAACGACACGCTGTGCATTCAAAACAATTACATAGCCTCCATTAGTTGAATGCGAACATACAATGGGAAACACTAAATGGCACACGGGCCAACAATTTGCATCTGTGCGGCAGTGTTATCCTTTTAGTAACAGATATCTGAACACAAACGGTGTAGCAACACATGTACACATTATAAATCAGTAATCAGAAGCATATATCCTTTCTCTTTTCACAACTTATAATGTTGCCATACTGAGAAGCCGAGAGAAGAGGTGATCCACCAGTACAGTACATCCGTATGTCTGTCTTATAATAGTATATAACCGCTTCTGGTCAAATAGGGGAAGTCTCAAAGGCACCTTATGGTGATATTGATAAGAGCAGAGAACTAAGGTAGGCAATGAGAGCAACTGACCAGCATCTCCTTAAAGGCTGTGATCAAGCAGTGCCCAACTTTTGGTAGCATGTTAGTTTCTATGCGTGGGCATCTCATTACTCACGCGTCAACATCAGGCAGCAGATCCAACTTGCTTGGGAAAATCTCGGACAAAAGAACTCGAGTAAAGCTCCTGCCCAGCGACTGCAGCCTTGATTCCAGGTGCTACAGAGAGAACAGAGTTAGGAGTGCGCCGAATCTGTTATCCTCGTATCAAAACACGATTTTCTCACGGGGTTGCCACAACAAGCCAACTTATTTGCAGTCAACCAATATAAAGACACTTCAACCAAGCGCAGGTTTGTTCAAAGGCCTTGCCAGTTGGACTCATTTTCTGTCATGCACAATCCAGAGATGCAAGCTCCGCACAAAGCTCGGCTCAAGTTGGATTCCTCAAAACTTAAAAGGCACACCTTTGTCTTGTCCAAAGTAAGCAATGTACCGAATTCAGCAACGGTACCTAAGTGGGGTGGTCCTGAGCAAAAGGTGGAAAGGTTCCACAGTCAATTGACCTCTTTTGATGCTAATTTATACGAAGAACAAGTGTTGGAAGTACATCGATGCCGAGAAGATATTTAAAAATCCCATACATGTTAGATTAGTGAGACTGTGTGTCTGTCCATGAGAATAACTTGGGTTCAAGAAGGAAAAAAAAAAAAATAAGATATATCAGCCCATACTTAAAACATTATCTGGCACCTCACTTCTTAATCTCGACAGATCAATATGGCAGAGAAGTTCAGCCTTTGTAAATCCCCCTTCAATCCTCCTCCTCGTTAATGCTACAGACTACCACCATATGTCTTTGAACGTATACTGATGACATTTATATGGGCCTCACGTAATAGATTAGCATATGCTCTTAAGCAAATCATACGGTGGGTGCCAAGCCTGGTCTTGGGAGTATCTCAACCATGAAGGTTCCAGATACCATCAAGTCATGCAAAGCTTGATCATGGGAGCGTCATTTAAAGGGGGGGTATAAGAGTAGAGAGACACGGAAAACACGAAGGCGAGAAATTCTGCCGATCAGTTGACGACTGACCTGGATGAAATCTTCGCATATATATTGAATCAGAATATGTCGACATAACATTTTGCACAAATGTTTTGGGAGTTTTTTTTTTATGTCTAGTTCACACTGTTAATAAGGAACTGAAGAAGATAAAATGTCTTTCATATGAATTCATGGTTCATTTGCCTTTATTTTAGCGTATGATCACAACTGATTAACTTATTGCAGGTGTATGTTAAAAATATATATATTTTAAAAGAGGACTTTGAAAAAAATAATTCCAAATTAAATCTGGCATTATCCATCCATCCATTTTCCGATTCGCTTATGCGCACAAGGGTCGCAGCGCGTGCTGGAGCCTATCCCACTTGTCTTCGGGCAATAGGTGGGGGACACCCTGAACTGGCCGCCAGCCAATCGCAGGGCACACAGACGAAAAAACATCCGCGCTCACACACACCTCGATGGACAATTTAGAGTGTTCCATTAACCTGCCACGCATGTTTTTGGAATGTGGGAGCAAACCGGAGTACCCGGAGAAAACCCACGCAGGCACGTGGAGAACATGTAAACTCCACACAGGAAGGCCGGAGCAGGAATCGAACCCTTCACCTCTGCACTGTGAGGCCGACACGCTAACCATCTCAACCACCGGGTCGCCCCATCCAGTAATAATTTTTTTTTTCGTTTATGTCATCCAATGTTTAAAAATAATGGTGACTTTTCTAGTATGAAGATTTCCCATTGCTGGAAACTTGCTTGACTAAAAATGTCAAATTGAAAAATATTGCAGACTGTTGCACGGCAGGCCTAAGGACAAACACGCTGCTGAAACGAAAACACACACAGACACCCACGTGCACGCTCACCTCCAGAACTTTTGGGTTTCCCTGACGGCCCAGCGTGCCCAAAATGAGCCCCCATCTCTGGGCTGAGCGAGCCTTGTTGATGGCCTCAAGCCTCAGGGCACGCATGGCCTCGTGGTCGTAGTACTCCCTGGAGAAGACTTTACTGTAGGGGTCGTACCTGCACACAGAAAAATAGCACATACACTCTCCTAATCGTCATCTTCACATGCAATCTAAGGGACTATTGTTCGGGTATCTATCCGAAGGACCGAAATGCAAAACGAGATTAAAAAATCCAATCATGAAAACACATCAAGTGTGACAGCAGTTGGTGTCAACTCGAGCTACTTCAGAGTATCTAATCTGCTTTACTTGGATCCAGGAACGTTGCGCGCCGTTGAGATTAGAATCTTGTTTGTGGTTGAGACCGGTGAGCTGTGCAGCTGCGCATATACCGACAACATTATTTCACTTTGCATGTCAACAACAGGTCATCAAAACCATATTTGCGCCTCATCCTGCGTTATCAGGACACGGCACTAAAGCAAGCGATCACAGTTTTGAGTGATACTGTCAGAGAAATCAATTTACCGATATGTTTATAACAGCGGTTTTGATATGGAATGCTGCATAGTTTGATGATCATCAGACACACAAATTGTACATGACTTGTGCCTGGTTCACATTCAAGTACCTGCTTTTACTCCTTTTGACTACCATATATTTCGGACTCTTGGGCACACCGCATTATTAGGTGCGATAAGAATGGGTCAAATTTTCAAATATTTTCATCAGACATACAGTATGACACACCGGATTATAAGACGCATTGTATGTTAAAACATTTCTTCTAATTGTACCGTGTGTTGATTTGAGAGACGTAGCAGTATTACGCGAGGTTGAGACCGGACACCAAATTACGCCGCGCGTCTCACTTACTTTTTGTTTGCCGTGCAGCTACACAAGGGCTGCTTTTGAGCAGAGGAGGGGATGTTCCGACAAACGGAAAAAAAAAACGGTGGGTGTTATGACTTTGGCTAATGCTAGATGCTATCATGGTAGACAGTTCAACAGCTGTAAACAAGTCACCACACTCAACCATTATCCAAACTTTTTTTTGTTCGGCCTCGGTAATTATTGGAAGCTGGCTTTGTAGTTTACCTCGTGGCGGTCCAGTCCCCCATTGTAAAAATGGAAACACGGCACCAGAAACGCTCAGCTTGCTTTTGGTCTATCCAGCGACTGCAGCATTCGACTAAAAGGACTCTATTTCCCATTATTCTTAGACCAGGAAGCAGAAAGTAGTTCTCATTCCAGTAGGAAGAAAACAAATGCATGCTTGTGATATTTGACATGGATGAGAATGCTACAATAAGAGAAATTAATTTGAATTAAAGATGACAAACTGAAATGCCGACATCCACACTTACATAAAGTGCCCCGGATTACACTGTCGATTTCTGAGAAAATTAAAGGAGTTAATGTGTCCCTTATGGTCCAAAAAAACCCAACAGTGACAGCAACACATTATTCCTAAATTCAAGCTTGAAGAACACACACGGATCATTTACCGTACCTGTAGGCAGGCAAATCTGGATTTGCGATCATGATAGACTCCAGATGAAATCTTCCATCTCCCAAATAGCTAAAGAAACAAAAAGATCACTCTTCAGAGAAATGACGAGAGAAAATCAGGAGAAAGCAATTTGTGCAAATGTAAATTCAATCAGCAAGTTAAATCTATCCCTCCCTTCCCCGTAGGCCACCTTGTAACAGAAGTCCTAAGACCTAGCAGTTTTCGGGCCCTGAGGCTAACGTGGAGGATCAGCCCAGCTCTGCTGTTTGGGGAACATGACCCCCAACGATTGGAGCATGCTGTTTACAGAGAATGCAAGGCCTTTCAATTAACCCTTGGCCTTCTACTGGGGATTCAGCAGACTCCGAGCGTAGGCAGTGTGTACAAACAGAAAGAACAGCGAGGCATGGAGGTGCTTGAAAACACGAGGCAAGGCACATCTATTTATATACCACAATTCTCTCCAGAGAAACCAGGAACTGCTTCACTTAGCATATAGAAATGGCAATATAATTAAAAAAAAAAAAAAAAAAAGGAGTAAAAACAACAAACGCAAAGCCCCAGAAGAAAATGCTAATTACAAAATGGGTGTGCAGGGGGGGGGGGGGCGGGGTTGCTAACCCAAGAGCTTTCTTTCCTTTGACATACTGACATGGGTTTCAGTTATTTCCTCCCTGGAGTTGGAGGAGTTGGTCCACTCTGTCCATGGGTTGACATTTATTTATGCGCTCCACAAACTGTAGAGTGGTAAAAGAATATGTTTGGAGGAAACAATTGTGAAGGTAGAGTTTCACAATGCAACAGGGTTTGGACAAGGATTGAAAACTGAGCCAGGACATCGGCTGGGGTGGGCAACTCCCTGGGTTGGTTATGCCACAGTGAAAAGGCGCTTGAAAACTGCTGTGTGTTGTTGAAACCCAGGCACGATAACGTTGCCAATTAGTCAATGTTTTTGGAAAACAAGAAAAAACACAATTTTGAGAACACACATCAGCATTTTTTTAATTAGGTCTTTTTCCTTTCCTTGCTCCCCCATCTGCTTGACAGTTTTGTTATAATGTCAATTAAAAAAAAAAACAAAAAACGATTTTTACCCGTATTCCAAAAATATTGAAAATGGTTGGAATCCAACTTAAACGTCACAGCAGTGAATGAGTTAAGGATGCACTGAGGCCTTGTGATTGGTTAGCAGTGGCCTCAAGTAAACCAGAAGACCTTTCAGTTAGTGGTGAAACAATGCTGCATGACCAATTAGGTCTTTGCTGCCATTTTTAATCATCAAATGGATTATCCACCAGGCTTGAGAAAACGGGTGTTGGGTCATTTCTGCAAAGAATTTTATGCAATGAAGGATAATTTCCTTGTCTTGAGATTGGATTGAGATTGACACAACTTTTGTGTTCACACACGACCAGATGAACAGTCACAAGGGGTGGGGGGGTCTAAGGCCAATGCTCCCTCTCATGACTGTACACTGTGTAAAGCATCATTATTATTATCAGGCAAAGTGCATTTCGTGTACAATTCACTGATGGAACTCACAATGAATGGCAACCTGGACGGCCGAGAGAAGCATTTCAAAATGGTACACGTGAGCTACGAGAGTTTTAACAGGCTGCAAAAGTGCATTGCATGCATCCGCGTTAGGTCTGCCACTCAGGTACGCAGTGATATCCTTTTCACAAGCTCAAAAACTCTTGTGCCTACTTTATTTTTCTGTTTCGTTTATCTTAGGGGTCGTTATGGCCGACGCTCATTATGGCATGCGTGTGTAAGTGCGCGGTAACGGGTCTATCGCGGGAGGTGAGGTTGGTTGATTGAAAAATAGATCTTCGGTCAAAAAAGTTTGGGGACTGCTGGTGTACAGGTGCAATTACGCTCACTAATTGTTAAATATTTATAGCTCCCGGTAAAGAGCTGTTGATGCTTATCCGTGCACTCTACCTGGAAACATGTTTCGCCAAGATAGTTTTTTTGAGTGTCTGTGTGTGTGTGTGTGTGTGTGTGTGTGTGTGTGTGTGTGCGCGCGTGCATGCGTTACATCACATAGACGATTGTACTCCTGCGGTCTCTCTGGTGCACCACTTTGCTTGAAAGGATTCAAGGCCATTCCATGATTAGACTGTGAACAATAAGACAGCCGCACTTGTGTGGCGATGTCCTCATGTCTCGCTCTCTTTCAAAGGCTGCTTTTTCTAAAACCTCGCTCTCCCGTTGATCACAGCCCCACCATCAATAATGAATTCTTCTTATTAAGTGTGCTCTTAGTATAACATTAGTCGCCGTTATGTTATGCAACAGTCCCAACCTTTGCATTCACATCTGCATACAGTAGTGGTCCATTAGCAGCGAGAGTATGAGCAAAGGAGTGGAAGTGAATTCAGCAATTATACATTCATTTTGGAGCAAGGATAGTAACAGAAAATTATATTTGCAACTCAAAATAACGCACAGATCGACATTCTACAAATAGGGGCTGAAATTGACCAAATTAATAATTGATCTAAATCAAACGTACTGCAATAAAGAACGAAAATCAGTCACTGCTTCATTTTTGTGGTCAAACCAAATGGTGACGGTGTGAGGGTGAACAGAAAGAGAGCTAAGCAGTGGGAACGTTCGAGACAACAGAGTGCACCAAATCTCAGACAAAGCAATCGATTCTCCGTCTCATCACAGCCCGACACACATCAAAGCAAAGGCCCATTGGATTAGTAGGTGAAGAGAACTTTTTTTTTCCCCTCCCCTCACACGCCCAAAGACACGTGGGCGAGCACATCCTGACGCACATGCGCTTCGACGCACACCTTTGTAGCTAACCCCCCGTGGAGCCTGGCTTATGCATATAGAGCCAAGCTCAGCCCGGTCCCATCAGTTTTATCTTATGCTCCAGGATGCTTTAAAATCACATGGGCTGACAAAGAGCAAGTGATGCACCTCGCCATTATTTCATCTGGGAGATGACCTGTGATATGGTTGGGCAGCAAACAGCACTGGGGAAGGGGATGTGTCCATATGCACATAGTGAACTGCTGGCTCCAAAAGTGAAAATGCTTTCTTTGTTTTTACGGGCGCTTGCTTCTCTACCCGCCCAACACACTGGGGTCTGCTCTGGAGCTTAAGGCTAATGCTAAGATGGGCAATATGGCTGAGCTATAAGCCCTGAAGCAACAGATATTTGAACACAAACAATCCAGCAACACATGTAGAAAGACAATATAATGTAGACCAGTGGTTCTTAACCTTCTTAGAGCTACCGAACCCACCCAGTTAATATGCACATTCACCGAACCCGTCATCAGTGGGGACTTTACAAATACAAGCTATTAAAAAATGCATTTATTAAAAACTGAAAAAAGTTAATACAATTTCAAGGGATAAGTATTTTTTTTTTAAATTGAACGACGTGCTATCATGACAGTCACACGTTGACTACGAAGCGAACTAAATTTCTCGCAGCACTGATTGGACAAGCAATGTCATGTGATCATCTGCAGCCAGTGATGTCCAAGAGGGCGTGTCATAACTAAGTGACATGTTGAGTTGGGTGTGTCTTAACCTCCATGGCAGAGGCTCCGTTGAACTCCTGAGACCGATTCACCGAACCCCTGGGGTTCAGGCGAACCCAGGTTAAGAACCACTGCTGTAGACGTTCTCAGTCATACACTGTACGGTATTTTCACGACCGTATGGCGCACCATAACAAAAGGCGTCGTGCCAATTACGGGTGCTATTTCTGTATTTAACACATACACAAGACAGATTGAATTACCGGACCCACACATGGTAAGACGTACGGTAGCATGCATGCACACGAGCATACAGTATGTTTTTAATAAGGCAGCGGGTGCAAAACTGAGTTCAGTTGCACTTTATGGGCGTATGGACAATGTACTCACATTATTTTTTTTCATCAATCCTCATCCTCAAATCTATCAAAGTCCTAATCTTTGTTATCCGAAATGGACAGCTGGGCAAGTTCAATCAAACACGCCAGATCCCCTCGCATCGTCGTCAGAGTCAGTCTTGTTGCCGTACGGCTCCTCAGAAATGATGCCGGCTTTTGCGAAAGCTCGAACAACAGTGCAAGCAGACATGTCAGCCACAATCCATTCACAAATTGTGGCGTAACTCGCCCTGTTGCTCGATTCCCATGTTCCTCCGCATAACTGATAGCTTGCAGCTTAAACTGTGCTTCGTAAGTGTGTCTCTTCGTAGGTGCCATTTTCGGGACGTTGTTTTGCATAATTCACGTCCGATAACTATGCACACCTCTTTCGTCCACATGCTGTCCTCAGTTACGGCCGCCTTTCCTCTATATAAGAAGCTGTCAGCACAACATAAGTCAGTCAAGCAGATACCCTCGTCGAAGTCACACAACAGCTTTCACCGATTTTGGAACTCGGTGCGTACACAAGGTGACCCGCGTTATTAGGCGCCTTGTCCGTTTTGGAGAAAATTTAAGACTTTTAAGTGCACCTTATGGTCGTGAAATTACTGTATTCTTTGTCCTCAGTGCATTAAATGATTAGCTGCTGCAACAGGTCAGAAAAATAAGTGTGAAGTAAAAATGAAATGGCCTTTATCCTCTCTCCAGGTGGCCAAGGCGTACATACCACATTGAACAGCGTAACATGCATTGATTGAATGACAAAGTGTGACAAAAACAGTTGACTTTGTTCTAATTCTATATAATTATGTCATCAATCTATGTTTTTGTGAGGTATGATGTGCTATGAAAGTGCGGTCATCATAGGAACAAAAGCCAGACTTGCCATTGGCCAGCCAGTATGCAAGGCAAAAACTCAAATTCTTGACAAAAGCAAGTCAGAAACATGTTAAGACTCAGAACTGTTTTAAATTGTGGGGAGGGAAAAAAAAAAAAGAATGTCACACGTCTCCTTGTGGTCGTTGACGGTCATTTATTACCAGGAATAAAAAAAAATAATTGAAAATTTGATGTGGGCTGCAGTGTTGCAGCCACAAGTGCTCGTGTGCGCTTCCAGTTATTTTAAGCTTTGCCTGCTTTTGGCCGCCCATAAAACAGGCTTGTTATGACTGCTGTGATGTCATGCTGATTATTCCTCGGCTAACAAGGCCATGTCCATGGTGACGAGTGGAAGGGGAGTGTAGGAGAGGAATGCTATCTTTGGTTATCCAGATATATGTGCTGACGGGCGGAGGCGAAAAAAATGTGGAGGCGAAACCAGATTTCTTACATTATGGCGTTGACGTTGCGGTCCAAGCGAGGAGAGGTGCAGCCCAAAATTTCTCCGGGTGAGAGAGGTCGACACTGTGGCACCAGCACGTCGTACTCTGGCTTGAGGGCTGCGCTCACAGCCTGTGTAGCACAAAGAAAAGACAGATGAGAGCATTCCAAAAAAAAAAAAAAAAAAAAAACAGTGATGTTTTTCTTTTGCTCGGCCTCTAACCTCGCGCCACTCTGCTGGGAACATTTGCAAGGCTGAACATTTTCATCTTTCACTGTCCTTGCACAATAATGTTGGACTACGTGACGCCATCGCTTTTTCATTAGCGTCCACATCCCGTTTAATGCTACGCTCGGTTTTATGCGATGACATATTCATCAAGTCGCGAGCGACGCTTGCAGACATTTTTCATATTCCTTCGCACACGCCGGCGGGCTTTTATCATTGTTCATCGAAGCCCCTGATTGCCTTGTTTTGTGCACATATTTTGTCAGGTTTTTGCAGTTGACACTCCCCCTCCCCACAAACATTTTCCTCTTTGTGTTCCATACACGAGAAAGAGAAAAAAAAAATAGAGCAAGCGGCAGAGTGAAGGCAAAAGCAGGCAAAGTGGGATATGTATGCAAATTATACAGGGGTATGAATGTTGGGATTAAAATAGGGCAGTGATGCAAAAGGCAGAGAAGGAGGTCAGAAAAAAATTACACTGGAGTTGTGATCCCAAAGCCATCCTCTCTTGGTCATGAACAACTTCGCTCCTCTCCGTCACAGGGCTGTCAACTTGATTTGAAACGCGACTGCGTCATGGAATAACTCGCTTCTTCTCAGGCGCTTTGACTGTATATTAATTGAGGCAACGTGAGGAGAGATCAAAATTAGCTCTAGCGCATGGAGGATGACGGATGAATTGAACGATTAAAAGCGAATTGAAGGCAGTCAACAGGGAGTGAGGGTGAACTCTTGAGCTTCTGCCGCCCATTCTGCAGGACCTCGTTGGCAGCCTACACAGCGCGAGTTGGAGGCGAAGTTCATGCGGTGCAGCTAAATACACATGCAGGCGCTTTCAAATATATGAAGGGAAAAAAAAAGACCTACATGGCAGAGCCTAGTTTAAGTTTAACAGCAATTACATTAGGGGCAACCTTGAGCGTTTTTTCGAAGCATAAAAGCTGAATTTTAGAACAAAGGTGAATAAAGCAAAATAAATTTTAGAGCTTATGCCAGCAAGGCGCTAAGCGGGTTTCATAGTTCACGCAAGCCTTCAAATCCAAAATAACATCTGGTAAGATATTAGCAAACGCACACTTGAATGGAACTTGGGTGCAGAGAATGCCGCTTTTTCATGACAAAAAAAAAGTCACAATATTTATGAGTATTATGAATCAAATGGAAAACGTACTGATTGCATCATTGGTTTCTGCCTACTTTTACTAGTTTTAGCTGAAACTCACACATAGGGCAGGAGACTTTATAAAAAAGACTGAAAAAGTGCAGAACTACACTGACTATTTTTGGTGAGAAGTGCTTTCCTACTCCTATTCCCCTCAAGGTGCTCTTGTAACATGCTGCTCACAGGAAGAATGGCATGAAGTCAGAATCACGGGCATTCATCCATTGAAGATTGAGCACCTTCTCACTTTTCTATCAACCTCACATTGTGTACCAAATAATTTGTTTTGAAAAAAAATATTCAGTTTTGATTTTAATTGGTAACTTTTTTTTTCCAAGTGCTTTTGCCAAATCCAAATTATTTCTGCAGTCACGGTGGGTTTTTCTTCCACGAACAAAGGGGTTACCAACAATTTTCTCCCAAGATGAGACAAATCCGCGAGGCCCAATCCTGCCTAGATGGGCTGCTGCAGAAATCAAGAATTACGAGCTGGCTTGTGCCTTTCAGTGTAAAGAGGTTTAGCCCAGGCACTTGGGTACCAGCAGTGTGTTATTAAATTACCTTTTCCATTTAAACAAACCTGTTGATGTTTAATTGTTAAGAGCCTTGTTGGAATAAAATGTCTTCCCAGGATAAAGATTTCATTGTGCAAAACACACACGCTTATTAGCCTCAAGACGCTTCATTAGCTTGATCTTTGAAGCTGAGCATATATAGTCCATTCACATTCTACCTGACACCACGAGTTAACCGACTGTGATGGAAAGTCAAAGTGAAGCACTGAAGTGCTAAAGCCGCGACCTGACTTGCATACGCTGTATATTCCGGGTGTTGCTGATAAATCTAGGCCCGGGAGGTGTCGGTGAGGGGCGTTTCAAACTGTTGCTGACTGCCAAAAGCAATCAAGGTGGCGACATTTTGGCCAGTTATGCTCCTATACTTTTTGTTCTTCTACTTTCTTCCTTTCATAACTTTGCTGCTGTAAATTGGGAATTTCTCCTTTGTGAGACGAATAAAGGTTTTCTTATTCTTATTCTTTATTCTTATTCAACTTGAGTTGGTGTTTTAATTCACACGGACGAACTCTTAGAGAGTGACAGTGTCATCAGTGGGTTGATACTGAGAGACTGGAAGAGTGACAGAAAGGCAAAGAAGTGAACGTCCTCGAAAATATACATCAACCACCTGTTGTCAATTTCTTAAATTCATCTGTTAAGGTTAGAGTGCATATTAGGGCCGTCATGAAATTTCACTTGAAAGCTAAATGTACATTTCCAGAAAAGGGCTCTGTGTTTTGGAAAAAAAAACAAGCCAGCCAACAAAACTTCAAACTTGGCAGAAATTCCTCTGATCAGCACCTGTCAATCATGCCTTGTTCCTGCCGCACTAAAGGACTTGAAATCATCATCGTTCCTAAGGAGTGTAGTTCAAATCAAAATCTGGCTTGAAGCAGGCTTTTTTGCAGTCTATGCCAAGCTGTAAAAGAGTGACGCGGCTACTATTTAGAACAGAAATGGACTTTAAGAACGACAATGCACAATCCGGTGAAGGACTGACACTTTCGTCACATGCCCATCCCCAGCATGAAGCCAATCCACTTGCCAGTGGAGGCAAAATAAACAGGAAGCGTTTCAAATCCTCCGGCAACAGAAGCTGCATGTGATGCCATGCCAGTGCTCCATCATCACCTGCAGCGCAGCCACAAACTGAATGGTGCTGACGAGCGCCAGCGACTGTCCGGGAGGGAAGTTGAACTTGACCGTGTCCAGGAAGTGCGCGTTGTCCATCTGGATGTCCACAAACACGTAGAGCATCTTAATTCCGGCCGTGGCGTCGATGGGGACTGTGGAGACCAAGAGAGAAGAAACGCGGGTAAATAATTCAAGCGGCTGTGTCAGGTGAGGCTGTGGCACATGCACTATTGATGGCACCTCAAAACATGAGAGCTTGGCACATGTTCATGAGTACATAGGCGCCCCTGCGATGTAGATGAACATCGCTCTGTGCCGTGTCAAGCCGATGCACGGGGCTTTATTATTTAGCTAAGGCAGAGATACACGTGATTAAAATTGATGTCATTAATTTCACAAGCCATTTGGGAAGCAGTCGTGCCTTTGAGGAGCTACATTAAAAATGCTCTTGGATGACTTGAACGCTGGACAAAGGAGGCTGGAGTCCAAGAAAACGGGAGGGGGAACATTATCATCATCAGCACCGATCATCGCAATTAGTCTTGCTTTTGCGCCACAATGAATTTGCAGATGCGGAGCCAAGAAGCGTTTTGCTGTTACGACAGAGCCAACGGGCCATTATGTTGCATGTTGTATGAGTTGGTATTTAATGGCCCAGATTAGCGTAATGCGGGAGAGGGATGAGAACCAAGTGTGAGAAAGGGGAAAGAAGACACGAAAGGGTTGTTGAGATATGGATCGTGACATGAGGACCGAAAGCAGCTGCGTTGGAAGCGAGGAAGGAGAAATTCTTACAAAAGAGGGTTGGAAAATTGTTTCAGGGATGGTGAGTCAAGTCCACATGAAGGACGACAAGAGTTATAAAGCAACCGAGCGCGTTTGAAGGTTGTCAGTTACTTGACCACAGAGGTGATTTAGGACATCCGATTGGAGCAGGAAAAGGGGATGGAGTGGAAATTGGGATATCTTGCACGAGCATCGCAGGACTTTCATATATCATGAGGGGGAAGGGGAGGGTGATTGGAGAACTTGAGTCGCATCGACAATGGAGCTTGAGGCAGCTGTCAATTGTTTATGGGCACTCTCAAAAGGTAAAGGGCAAACAATCGATTTGCGCTGAAATGAGGATGGCAACCGGCTTCGAAGACGCTACAATTAGAGACGCGGTCAATGGGATGGTTAGAACTCACTGACCTCATGACTGTGGTTATTGGGCCTGTAAAATGTGCCCGTTAACGTTAATTACTTTCTGGGATTGACCAAACGCCTCACCTTCAACGTGTTTGTTTTTTTTTTTTTTTTTTTTTTAATACCGACCTCATCAGACAATTTTCAAGTTTAACTCAGTTAATTCTATGGCCATTGACATCGACAGATGTTGCTTCTTAATCAGTGTTTGCCATACCAGATTACTTGTAGTCTATAAATTGCAAATTGTGGTGAGAGGATTACTGATGATTCGGATCGAGAAGCTTCCATCTATCCATTTTCTACAGCGCTTCTCCTCATCAGGCTGACCTTGGACTTTGGGTGAAAACGTGGACCAGCCCCCAGCTTTGTGTTCTTGGAACGAGTGAAGTAAAACGGGTACACTTGGGGGTTATGACCGCCATGTCAAAGGACGTGCGAATTTCTCCATTGTGAGAAAAATCAAGGTTTTCTTCTTTTTCTTCCAAAAGCGACAACAGCAACTCAATGTGACTCAGAATGCTGACAAGGACAACAAAGATGAAAGTAAATCATCCAAACAATGGAAAGTGAGAAAGTTTTGCACGAGCGATGAATGACCAAAAGACAAGGAAAACAGCGGTAACAAGAGCACCCCGAGGTGAAACTTTTTTTATGCCAAACTTGATTGCACTGCGGAGGCCATTGAGAATTTGAGGAAGGAGATACGTGAGACTGGAGGACATCAACTGAGGAAACAATTCGGCAGAGTGCGCAAAAAAACGACAACAATCTCGGACACTGTATTGCTTGACCTGCAAAATTACTGGCATTATCCATCCATCCATTTTCCGATCCGCTTACGCTCACAAGGGTCCCGGGGCGTACTGGAGCCTATCCCAGCTGTCTTTGGGCAGTAGATGGGGGGCACCCTGAACCAGTTGCCAGCCAATCGCAGGGCACACATCGACGATCAACCATTCGTGCTCACACTCACACCTCAGGACAATTGAGAGTGTTCCATGAACATGTCATGCATGTTTTTTGTAATGTGAGGGGAAACCAGAGTACAGTCATACCTCGGTTTTCGACCATAATCCGTTCCAGAAGGCTGTTCGAAAACCGATTTGTTTGAAAACCGAAACCATGGTCTTTTTAAAAAAAAAATCTTTATTGAACACGTCTGCTCACAATGGAACGCTACACGAGGAAGCGTCACTTCCTCGTGTAAGGAAGGCAAGAGGAGTCAAGTGGCGCATTCAAATATGCTCAGGTTGGTCGAGAAACCGATTTTCGGTCGTAATCCGAGGCATAAAAAAAAAACTCGAAATTTTTGGTGGAAAACCAATTTGGTCAAGAACAGAGACGTTCGAAAACCGAGATTTGACTGTACCTGGAGAAAACCAACACAGGCATGGGGAGAACATGCAAACTCCACAAAGGAAGGCCGGAGCCGGAATTGAACCCTGCATCTCTGCACTGTGATACCGACGCGCTAACCAGTCGACCACGGGGCCATCCATCCTAAGTAGCACAAAACTGAGTGTATGACCAGTCTCCAATCTTGAGGAATTGTGGATGAGGAAGCGTTTCAATTAAAATGAATCACTGAGCTGTTTGGAACATTGGACTTTCAAAGATGAGTGTGGAAATTGCTCTAACGAGCAGAAAGCAATGGAGCTTTTTTTGGCAGTTTTCTTTTTTCTCTTTAGTCGAGAGAGGGCGGACTGATGCTCATTAGGTGGACCAATTTTCAGCATTAACAAGAGTCAGATATGGACAGAGGTAGTGCCGGCACGGGTGTGAGGTGAAAGGGGGAGTTTTAAATTCAGGTTTATGTTTTGTTGCTTCTATTCTTTCTACTGTTGGTGTTTGTAATGCTACTCTACGCATCCGTTTTGCTCTGGTTTTCCTCCTTTATTCGATCTTCTTTTTAAATAACTCCCAAATGAACTCATAATTTTGTTTCTTGGAACTGCGAGAAGTTCAAAAAGTTAAACAGGTTATGTAAACACCTTTGGAGGAGGTTACCCTAATTGTTTATGAACTTGAACCAAATAGAGAAATTCTTCATAGTCATTCTTCACGCTAAATGAAACAGACCGCTTGCGGCAGTTGCACGTTGGACTCTGGTATGGAGAGGTGAACAGGTGCTGAACAATCACACAACTTTTGACCTGACGCCATGTCAGGGGTGATCCCCCCCCACCCCCAAAAAAAATGCTTGACTCAGCTGTGTGGCATTTCCACCATAAATGGTTTGTTGAAGAAATTTGTGAGCTCGCAAGGCAGAGGGCAATACACATTATGAGAAGTCAACGCTGAGCCGACTTCTGCATGTATCAAGTGGGAGGTTTTCAAAGCCTTTTGTGAGAAGACAGATAACTCATTTTAAGTCAAAGAAACATGGCGAGAAGAGATGATGATTGAAAATAAACATAAATAAATGCTCTTCAGTTTTTTTATGATGAGGGGAAGAATCACAAAACGGAAACAATACGTAACTGCAAGAGCAGAGAACGAAACATTTTCTGCGCCAAGTGCCACTGCCAGTCTATTAAGACTACATTCTGATCAACGAGTTCAAGAGATACGTTACTAATTTGGCCATTTTCGGCAGTAAAAAGTGAATATTTTGTCTCAAATGAATTTGATAACTTCATTTAACACATTTGATGTCATTTTCAGTCGACAGCAGGAGGCAAAATGCGTTTTTTAAAGGTGTTCATTGCACATGAAAGATGAAGACTGAATACATGTACACTCTCTGGTGTAAGACTCTTTCTGTGTGCTCTTTGTTTATTTTTATTTATTTATTTTTTTGTCTTTGGTAGGGTAAAAATAATTCAGCGTTGAAATGTTCAGTGGTGGTTAAAAAAATAAATTGTACAAGGCAACTAGAAACAAATAATTGTGTTGTTTCTCTAGAATCCTTCAAAACATTTTAATGCCCAACCTTCCCGTAAATATTTTTTATCATTCCAAAGAATTAACATTTTTGCATTGTTTTCTCTTGAATGCATCTTGCTAAATTTGGTATTAGTTTTAGTTTGACAAGGGCAAGTTGATTGGATTTATACTAGCTTCTTTTTGTATTATTTTATATTGAGCATTGATTAAAAAGGATGTGTCGTACGGATACAACGAATTCCATTTTGAGGTTTTTTTTTTTTTTTTTTTTAAAGAATCTGAGTCTATAGCTGGAGGAGCTTCACGATGACAAACCACAAACGTGACAGCAACAGACAAAAAAGGAGAAACACCAGCGAGAACATGAAAGTGGAAGACCGTTCCTCTATGAGGCGCAGCGGCTCCTTTGATCTCTCACAGGTGTCTGACACGAGACGCATGTGACGTCCTCATGGTTGCGTGGTGGGAAAGGTCAAGGCAAAATAAAAACACGAATCGTCACATGAATACGCACTGGCTTTCGTCAAGGTGGACGGAAAGGCCAAGCGGACATCCACATCAAAGAACAAACGACCTCGCCGGAAGCAGAGTGAGCATTTTTGGAATGGCACAGCCTGAGCCCAGAACTAAATCCCCGTCGAAAGCGATACCATTACAATTACAGACAATGCGCAATGTTGATGGACTCCTTTTCCAAAAGACTGAGTGACTTGAGTCAATCCATGCACCATGCCACTAGATATCTTTTCAACAGAGCGGTAAAGGTTTCAGGTTTGAGAAGTAGCTTTTATTTGGCGCAGTGTCTTTATAAGGGTGTATTCACTTTCGATACCAAGTGAAGCAAACAATATCAAACGCCCAACTAATGAATTATTTGCCGTGGATGCTCTCCCATCTTAAATGTAAACATATACCTGCATCAGTAAGGCATCATCTCACGAATGGAGCGCATTAAAATTCCGCAGACTATTTCTGGTATTTGGAAAAGGCAGCAATGTAGCAGAACGATCGATTTGGGCTTCCTAACTTGTCCGGTAAAAGACGGCGAGCCGGGCGCAGGGTGAAGGTCCGAGAGAAGGCGGAGGACACCTCTAATGTATGTTTCTCATTGATCCACTGAGTCAATGCCATGTCTTGGCTCCAAAAGGTCCGATGTGCCTGCCGTACTGGAGCAGCACATATCCTCGGACCGATGTTATGTTCCTGTCGATCGATATGTCTTTCGGTCAGCACCAAGCCTTCTTGTGGGTCGTGCCATTTGATTGACAGTGATGGGCGTTGTAACATTTTGATGAATTCTGTGACTTTGATTGCTGATTAATGTGTGTTGGGAAGCAATAGCAGCAAAACGGAATGTTGGCTTTTGTTTTGTATTCCTCACCCAGTCGCGAGGGAGCTGTGGATGTTGAGCAGAATGGGTTACATTTACCCAAGGTTCGGTTAATTATTTTTGACCCACATATTGCATTGAGGATTGTAGTTTGGGGCTAAAGCTGGTTGCCAATATGGACATTTTGTGATTGAGATGTGCAAAATTGGCCATTGGTCACCTGCTTACGTTACAATACAATGAATTTTTATCAAACGCTTTCACAACAGCTGCAGCTTTAACAAAGCAATTTTCAGAACATAAAATAACAAATTAAGTTACAACACACATAAGACATGGACAGTCATGCAATCACGACCCTATTCCAGCATATGCCTTGTTGTTTGAAGCAGTTCTAGATGAAAGAGGAGAGAATTAAAGTGTCCTTTCACCAATGGATCATAGAAGTCAAGCTTAAAATGTGCACACGTCTGCTACAAGCTCAGTTTGAAAGTAAACAAGAAGCTCTAGCGTCTATTGACGAGAAAAAAGATCAGTTCACTTCTCCTGTCCCATGTAAATCTGCTTCAATTCCAACCACCGACTCTCAGGTACAAATACGCATTTGTAATCCACGCCAACGCTCCTTTCTTCTCATCATCGGCTCCACAAGCCATCCATCCAGCCGCACCAATGCAGACTATCCGACAGTACCGACATCTCTGCTAAACAAAACGGGGCTGTGAAAAATGCAGCCCATTACAAATGCAAAAAAACACAAGCGCCCTGGGACTGTCAAGCGGCAAGAGTCAAGAAGCGCCAACAAACACCATATGAAGAAACAAAAGGGAAAATTGACAAAAATGCAGATAAGAGCTCTCGCAGGCGGCTGCCAACTACGGCACCATCTTGAGAAGTTAATGACAAGTATAGAGAAGTTGCTGAAATGTATGCTGGTTTTAGTGTGTATTCTTTGATAATGTCTACTAAGGTGATGGAAAAGCTGGTTTGTAGAGTGGGATCAATGTTTTATTTTGAGAAGGGGGTGGGTG